CTACCCACCTGAAAACCTACCCTGCCTGTCTGTGGAACCAGCTTTCTCTCACCCACCTTTCCTTCTTTCTCCAATCACAGGGAACCCTGAGAGAAGTCAGGACTCATTTTGGTGCATGTGTCTTACACTCAACTTGAAACAGACTTTGTGCATCTGAGTTAGAAGGAAAGACAAATGAAAACAAGCATGAGTTCGAAATGGTTAATACCAACTGACAAGTTGATGGAATTCATAATCATCACAGAGTCTAACCCCTTGGCATGTCTGAGGGAGTTCCTAGATGAGGTTAACTGAGGTGGGAAGACCTTCCTTAACATGGACAGCACCATTCGGTGGGCTGAGTAGAAGGAGGAAGTGAGCTGAGCACCAGTGTTCTCTCTTTGCTTCCTGACTGTGGTTGCCATGGGACCAGATGCCTCAAGCTCCTGCTGTCCCGCTTTCCCTGTCATGATGGGCTGTACCCTCAAACTGTGAGCCAGAGTAACTCCTTCCTTTGTAAGGTGCTTTAAGGCATCAGGTATTTTGCTATGGCAATATGATGATTTGAATAAAAATGGCCCAATAGGCCTATAGGAAGTGGCACTATTAGGAGATGTGGCCTTGTTGGAGTAGCTGTGGCTTTGTTGGAGGAAGTGTGTGACTAGGGGGTGGGCTTTGAGGTCTCAGAAGCTTAAGTCTGGCCAGGGTGTCACTGTCACTTCCTGCTGTCTGAGGATCCAGATGTAGAACTCTCAGCTCCTTCTCCAGCACCATGTCTGTCTGCCATGACAATAAGAACTAAACGCCTGAACTGTAAGCCAGCCCCAATTAAATGTTTTTCTTTATAAGAATTGCCGTGGTCATGGTATCTCTTCATAACGATAAAACCCCAAGACAGACAACTAGAAAACACTAACACAGAGGGCCACAAACAGCCCTGAAAGCCCAATTCTTCCCCTTTCATCTTGCCATGAGCTATTCTATAGGTCTGAGCATGCCTTCACTGTGGCTGAGATCGCTGGCATTTCTTCCAAACACAGGCTATTATACTGAACATGTCTTCAGTTGTACTTTAGACTTATGAGCAAGGCCTTATCTGCATTAGGCTGAGGTGTTGAGACCCAGAGGATGCATCAAGCCCCAGTCCTTTACATGGGTTTCATTCATCCATGGTTTATGAATGGGTGTGCTAATGAAGATTGCTATGGAAAACATTTCAGTCTTAAAAATAGAGTCTATTTACATGACTGTGTTCTTAAAAATATCACATTGCATGTTACAGAAAATGTATCTAAGGGAAAACTAAAGGGAAGGAAGTGGAAAGGAAGAGAAAGGAAAGGAAGAGATGGAGAGGGAAAGGAAGGGGAGGGGAGGAGAGGGGAAGAAAGGGAAGGGGAGGGAGGGGAGGGAAGAGAAGAAACTGAAGCAGAGGAGAGGGCAGGGGAGGAATCTCACTCGCCTTGGGTTTACACACAAGCTTTTGACTGCCTTCCTAGCAGCAGCACCCATGACCAGCATTTCTGCTGGCCCTGTCAAGTGTCAGGTGACTGTAAACTGCATGGTTGTCTTATCTTTGAGTCTGTACCATTTGCAACCCATTTTATCAGCAGACCTACTACACTGCTTCTCAAGCCAAATTCGATCATTTGTCTGTTGGGTTGATGCAAGCTTTGCCCTTTTTGGGCTCCAGAGTCTAAACTGAAAGCACTTTTTTCTACCCAGCTGTCAGGCAGAGCAGAGTCCCTCCAGCTTCCACAGAGAACAAAGGGCAGGAAACAGCCAGAGCAGCCAGCCAAGACAGCCAAAGCCCTAAGTAACAATCAGAGGGTTTGTCAGCGGGCTGTCAGCCCAAGGGCACGTGGGTCTTTTGTTGCTTTAAATTAACCATGTACTTTAAGTTCAATAAGTCTTTCTCTGTCTTCACACAACCACTCCGTTCCATCCTATGACCTGGAAGCCAGAATTTAATCAGTTTGATTCTCTCTGCCCTTTATTAGCCCATTTACAGAAATACTGCTGCTCAGGTGAGCTTCAGGTGAGCGTGCTGCTGGACACCAGTGGGCGACTCCCACGAGGCCAGAAGAGAATCAACTATTGGTTTTTTTCCATAACTTCAGAACTACAGTTATAAACTAACTGCACGCTATGGGGAAATGAAGTTAGATTTACTTAATTCCCCTCTCTTTATTCAGAACCCATCTCCCAGGTTGGAGGGGAGATAAAACAGGTGTTCTTACTTGTCTAAAGGGACTCAGGTTGCTCAAGGGATAGTCTGAGACACATAGAGAAACAGAAGCCATATTATAGAGGCTGGCCATAAGAGAACAAGAAAATATGTCTTTGCAAATATGTTTCAATTATTAAAAATGTATTTATTCTCTCACAATTTCATACATATATACATATAAGGTACTCTGATCATATCTCCTCATTGTCCTTTTCTTCCTACTGAATCCTGTCTTCTTCCCAGTGAATTCATTCCCCACTACTTCACTATCCTTTAAAACCTTAGCCCCATTGCATTTCATTAGCGGTGCCTGCATGAGCGTCGTTGAGGAGTCATTTACTGTCTGCACCATAGAAGAGATGATCTCCTGCTCCAGAAACCATGAGTGCCTATAGCTCCAAGGGAGGGATGGGTCCTCTTGAGCACCTTCCCCATCCATGATGAAATGTTGATGGGCCCCGTCTTGTGCAGGTAACCCCAACTGCAGTGAGTTTATGGGTGCCACAGTCTGTCATGTCCAGGAAGCAGTGTTCCACAGCACCCCTTCACATTATTTGACTCTTACAATCTTTCTGCCCTTCTTCCTTGGTGTTCCTGCAGCCTTGGGGTGGGGGATGACACAGATGCCCCATGCAGGACCTGGCACGCAACAGTCACTTATTCTCAGCCCATTAAAGCCTTTAGGAGTCTCTGCACTAAATCTCACCCACTACAAATGGAAACCTCTCTGAGGAAGGTGGAGAGCAGCACTAACTGGTTGTTGGCTCTACTCTGGATGATCCTGGGTTCCTTCCCTGGGGTTGCAATGGCAGTCCCAGTCTTCCCTCTGCATTAGCAGGGTGCAAGGACAACCCTTCACACGTGAAGTCTCCACCCTAGTTACCCCTTGCCAGTTACTCCTGGTTTTCAGTTGCAAATGCTGACCCCACCTTTGTGGAGTCCTTGCCAGGGTCTTGCAGGCTGCCTGGAATGTGTTAGAAAAATCTGGTTTATACTTTGGGTCCCACCAAATTTTTAGTTCATTTCACGCTGTATGAATCTGACTCAAAACACACGAGTTAATAGCACGATTTAGGTACAAGATGTTCCCACCAGCTGAAGTGTTTGAACCCTTAGTGCCCATCTGATTGTGGAGTTTCTGGAACCTTTGAAAAGGAGACCTGGATGAGTAAAGTAAGGCCCTGGGGATGAGTAGAGAGGTTTGTGATCAGCCCTGCTTCCTGTTCTGACTTTACTTCCTGCTCTGAAGATGCGCCATGGCACATGCATACAATACATTCTGCAGTTTATTTGAACACATGGTAGAATATACTGACAGATGAAATGAAAGTAGGTGTAATATTTCCTAGGCACAATGAGCTCTGTCACAGAGCAATGAAGAAATAAGGAAAGGGCTCTGCCATTGCTCACATTCATGCAGTAATGTTGGAATTGATTTGAATAAAAGGTTGACTCTATGTGTGTGTATATAATCTGTTCTGGCCACAATGAGTACTATCAGAGAATAAAGGAAGAGGCTTGTTGGTGGCGTATGGTATCTGGAGGGAGCAGGCGCCCCTGGGCAGAACACAGGAAGCAGAAGAGAAAGAACAAGAGAAATAGGAAGTAGAGAAAACGATCCCAGGAAACCCAGAGTGTGTCCTTCATTACAAGAGGCAATGGCATTAGAAAGCTAGAAGCTTTTCTAATTCATTCACTCAACAATTATACCTACTATGCTTTAGATGGGCAAGAAAACAGTGACGAGCACGTCCCAGGCAGTAGAGTTTGGAGTTGATTGGAGAGTTAGCCTACAGCCCCAAGAACTTCCTTTCAAACTAGGTCATGGCCCTGCTTCCTGGGCCAAACAATGACCAATGGCCTTCCTGTATTTGAGCTGAAGGAAGAAGAGTCAGGTTGCACAACAAAGGAAATGCTCTTCAGAGGGAGTTTATTTTCAGGTCAGATTTAAGATCTGAGTGTTTGTTCCAGGGAGCAATCATGATCCTTCCCACGCCTCCTGCCTGGCAGGAAGTGCACTTCGCTATAGATCATCGAGATGCAAGGCAGATAACTCAACTTTAGTAATGCTGTCTGAGAAGCACTGAGCAGCCAACATGGGAATAAGGACATCTCTGCAACTGCACACAGGAGGGGTATGTGTAATCTCACACGTGCATTTACATGCATACCACACATACACACAAGTAAGTAAATAACAGTCAAGCAAAGCTAAATAAACACTGTGTATTGACAACTGTGAGCATATGTAAACGCCAATACTAAACTTCCTCTCCAGATTCAGTAACGATTCCTAAGCCAGGATTTAGTGAATTGTGACCAGAGAGCTGAGATGATAGCAATGCAGAATGCAGATGTGCCACCACAGCAGGAGGAAGCGGCTCATTTTCTAGAATGCGGCTTCTGCCTTTGCTCCCCGTGCAGTCAGCAAGGAGAACATGACTTCAGACCATGTACTTCCTAGAACACTCTTGTCTATGGGATGGTTTTTCTGAACAGCTAGTCCTAGTGAAAAGAGTAAACGAGAATACATAGGTACTTTGGAGCACCTGCAGTTGTCTTAAAAGCCAAAAAATGGCCAAACTCCAGAAATAGCAGGATCCAGAATTCAATAGTTCTCAATCATCATGCACGCCAGACAAGTACTCTGTCGATTGAGTGCAGAGTCCAGAACTTCAATGATGTCCCCTAATTTTTTTGAAAATAAATCCTTAAAGCTTTGTGTCTCTCAAGAAAAGTGAATCCAACTATTTGATTCAATTAGTAGATCAAGTATTTGTAATTAATTACTTACCTAGTTCATGGTCCATCTTGATGAATGGCAGGTCCTGTGAAAGCAGAAAGAAGCAGAATTTGGAGTTACAGGCTTCTGTTTCTCTATATTTTAATCATTTCTCTTTCTGGGAAGGCCTTTAATTGGGGTACTAACTGTAATACAGACTATTTGCAATGTAACTCAGTGGGTAAAGGAGCTTGCTGCCAAACCTGACGATCCAAGTTCGATCCCCAAACCCTACACATTAGAAGGTGAGAACCAACTCCAGACAGGTGTCCTTTCACTGCACAAGCCCACTGTGCCACATGCATGCCACCAACACAGCATATATTAATGAATAACTAATTGAGAGAGGACATTTGTGAAGGAGTTGATACAAGAAGAAGGCCGAGAGTCAGGAGCCTTCACCTTTTCCCTGTTGTTTTCTTCTATCCCCTCAGATTTTCTTCCTTTTTAAACAAATCACATACAAATTCCTTCTCCAGATCCAATCTGGAAATTCTACCACATGCAGAATCAACAGTGGTTAGTCCTCCAGGGCGGCTCTTGGAGAAGCCACTGACCACAGCTTCACTTATCTCCACAGCTTTCCTCTCCACCGTGAGGGCTGTGATTGTACTTTTTTGTTGTTGTTTTGTTTTTACTGTTTCTGAAAAGCATCCCTGAGTATCCAGTCCCCAGGACTCTCATTAGAACACATACTCAGGCTATATTTAACATTAATTAGCATGCCTGCATATGCTATCACTCATTAACTTTCTCAGGTGGCAGGATCTTTGGGCCGGATTGAGATCCATTCACTGTTAATGGTTTTCAAATTCTGCTCCTATGTGGATCAATTTTAAAGCAAAACAAATGTTCCTGGTAATATTACCTGATTCTTTTAAATGTAATAAAAACATCTTTATATATGAATGATTTAATCAATGGTAGATAGATCTGTCAGACTGTTTCTCCCTGGGTTGGTCTTTTGGCTTTATTTGTTCTTTATTTTACTCAGACTCATTCTTATCTTTGTTCTTCAGTTATTTGTTGAGAATTATTATGATATTACCTTTGACTCCTGTAATTTTGATCATTTCCCTTCACCGTGAAGTTATTTCATCAGATCCTATCTATAATATAAACTATTTGTAAAGAGGGCAGATGGTGAGGCTGAGCAGGTAAAGAAGCTTGCTGCTAAGCCTGATGACATAAGTTGGATTCCCAGGACCTGCAGTAGGACAAAAGGACATAACTATCAGCTTTCAGTCACACAGTCTTCCTCTTCTTACATCAGTTCCTTTACTAAGCATTAAATCAAATGTGAGAACACAGAACTGGGAAGTGCAAGGTGGCACACAACTGTCATCCCAGCAAGGAAGGGTGAGACCAGAGGATTGAGAATCCAAGACCAGCCTAAAACTAATAGAGAGACCCTGTCTCAAAAACAAAACAAAGTAGTGCCAGAGAGATGGCTTGATGGTTAAGAGCACTGACTGCTCTCCCAGGGGACCCAGGTTCAGTTCTCAGGAGGAGGCTCATGGTTGTCTGTAGCTCCATTTGCAGGGAATCCAGTTCCCTCTCTGCCCTCCACATGCTCCAGGCTTGCATGCAGTGCACAGATAGATACACTGGCAGACAGAACACTCATATGCATTCAAATACAAACCACACAAGCAGAACAAAATAGACAATGGATTATCTGCTTTGATTATGTCTCGATTATTATTGAAACGAAAATGCAATACTATAATACTGTAACTTTATGTAGACAGTGGGCCTTGTTTTGAGATATATTATTATATATCCAATAAAATTCTATTTCAGGAATTTCCTTGCTATTACCTTTGAAATCTTGGGTTGTGTTATTTTGTTTGCAAAAGCTGTCTGTGGCAACAAATTCTACACCAATCACGTTTCCCCGTGGCGTGTAAAGGAAGGAAGCAGTTCCTTTAAATGACTCAGCAAGTCACAGGGACTTGGGGAAGGATGGCGATTTAGTGCTGTTTGCAACTCTGAAGCTCTGTATTAGGCACTTCACTGTCGCTGGGATAGAACACCTCAGCCAGAGGCCACTGAGAGAAAGAAGAGTTTCTTTGAGCTCGTGTGTATGAGTGTGCCCACATGTTTGTACTCTACGTGCAAGCTTTGTGCCCATGGAGGCCGGAAGAGGACACTGGACCCTCTAGAACTAGAGTTATAGATGATGGTGACCACCATATGGGTGCTAGAGATTGAATCAAGGTCCTCTGAAATCTTTAAGATGGAAGTACTTGGCAACAGGAACCTCTTGCCCCTCAGAAGGTAACCCCCCATGCTCCAGCTGCACACTTAGATCAACAAGGCACATTCCAAAGCAAACTGCGTTGGTCACATCTCTGACAGAGGATGCACAACCCAGCTCTAAATCCAAACCTCTTACATGCCATCTGAAGATTATCGTTATTATTGTTAAGATGAAGTGGCTGCCACAGCCTGAGCCTCTGTGGCATGGTCCATTTTCATATTGATCAGGAATATCATTAACTCTCAGTTTCAAATGACCAAAGGGCCTATACTCAGAAGCAATTTCATGGATCTGCAGGTAATGAGGGGCTAGTACTAACACCACTTCATGATACTTCTATTAGAGATATTCAAAGTTTGGTGTTTGGACTTATTTATGCTAAATTATGAAACAATCATTAAACATTAGCATAGTGTTTTGTCCCTAATAAACATTTTTTTGAGATAGGCTGTTGTGCTGACGGTTTCACACTTGCCTTAGCCCTTCAGCCTCAGCTTCCTAAGTGCTGGGTTACAGGGAGGAGCCACCATCACACTTGCTTCGTTGAAATTAAATTCTCTTTGAGCTGGCTTTCCCATTGCCACTCTCTGAACACAGCATCCTGTCCTTCCTGGCTCCTGAGTTTATCCATTTTTATTAAAATTATTGAACCTTGCAACTTAAAGCAGCTTTGAGTGTCAAATTCAATTCACTTACCCTAATGAATTCCTTCCTATGTGACAAATATTGGGTGTAGCTGTCACGAAAATAAGCAGTGGCTATCGGAGACATGTTGAGTGTTTTCTTTCTGCACCCTGATTTACTCATTAAATGCTTAGTGTGGTCTTACTACATAGCAAGTCCAGTTTTGTTCATTCTGCCTTTTTTTTTTAATTTAACTGAGAGGGTGAACTGTTTGCCCCTCTGTCAACTTGCTTGTCTCCTTCAAGAGGCTATTATTGGGCTGTTGTACGTGATGATTTTAATGCACAAATGACCTATTTTAGTCTGCTTTTATTTTTCCTTGTTCAAGTGGCACCATTAATTGAGTTGGAATACAAGGCCAAAATGAAACTTTTAAAGGTTTAAGTAAATAGATGTTAAACATAGGAAGTCACCAAAAAAAAAAAAAAAAACCTTTTCTGTAAATACCCCTCTGACACAAAGCAATGTGCCAGAGCACAGATCTGTGGAAAACGCCAAGGCTTTGTAGCGTCTCTATCCAAGTCAGCCTGCCAGAACACTGAGTTCCCACAAAGGGCAAGGGTGGACTCAGCAAAGAGCAGTGTGCTCTGGTTTCATTTCTGCTGTTGGGATGAAATACCCTGACAAAAAGAAACTGAAGGGAAAAGGGGTCTATTTAGATTACAATCCCAGGCGATAGTCCATCACTGGGGGACAGCAGGGACCCAAACAGCTAGTCACTGCACATGCGTAGTCAAGAACAGAGAGAAGTCAAGACGCCCAAGCTGCTGCTGGCTTTCACTTCATTTTCTCCTGCATTCTATAGTTAGGACCTCCTGCCTGGGGATGGTCACCTGCAGTGGACTAGATCTTTCTATGTCAATTAAAGACAAAGAATCTCCCACAGACATTCGCACAGGCCAACCTGATAAAGATAATTTTTCTTTAAGACTCTCTTTCAGGTTATTTTAGGTTGTGTCAGGGTGCCAGTTAAAAAACCGTGTCTACCAGCACAGGTGGCTAGAACAACATGGAGCCTTCCCTACTTCTTACCCTCTACCTGAAGAGTAAAGGATGGAGTTTCCTCACTTTTCCAATGCAGGACAGGGCTCATAGTACACCCCCCCCCCCCAACCCCCCCCCCCCGCCACACCTCACAGCTCACTGTCGGCCTGCTTCAGGAACCAATCAGAACATGTCCTCCCATCATGAGGCCTCTGAAAAGAATTCAGCTACATTTGCTAATTCAGTTGCTAAGAAAACCATATCTAATTTTTACTAACCTCTGGCTGACAAGTATTAGTTTCTTAAATTTTGAATATAGGTAGCCAAATACAGTACTGATGGTACTAGTGATTGTTAGGATTTGCCACAGATATTTTTATGTCACAATGACTCTTAGAGTACTGTAAAAAATCGTAGGATTCTAAGTCGAGCCTGTAGATGCTGTCATTCATGACCTGAACAGAAAGGCATGAGTACACTCATCTCTGCCTCACCTTTCCTTCTCTTGACAGCTTGAGCCTTTATGTGAGCTTTTCCCAAAGAGACATGAACACACATCTACTTGCCCCAGAAAGAAAGACAATCTTAGAAAGGAAGAAATGATGATTCGACCACAGTGAAGTTTGGCGAACCAGGGAGCTTAAAGATTTATTTTTAGTGTGTGTGTGTGTGTGTGTGTGTGTGTGTGTGTGTGTGTGTGTGTGTGTGATGTATTCAGGTACCCATGGAGACCAGAAGAGGATGATGGGTAGCCTGGAGCTAGAGTGACAGGCAGTTGTGATCTACCTGACATGGGAACTGAACCCTGGTCCTCTGGAAATGCAACAAGTGTTCTTAACTCCTGAGTTGTCTCCCTAGCCCCAACTAATGGGTTTAATGAAAATTATCCACAAGTTATCTCCCTAGCCCTAACCAATGGGTTTAACGAAAATTACCCATGAGTTATCTCCCTAGCTCCAACCACTGGGTTTAATGAAAACACTGATAGGAGTATTTACGAGTACTGCACTAATGAAGAAAAATTCTTTCCCAAAGCAACAGTTAACTGTGTATAAATCTTTGAGTGAGGGCACAGCCTTGTGAACCCCTTCCTCACCACGTCCACTGCAAGTCATTAGTGGTCCCACTCTCATATAGGTCTGCTATGGGTAATTGCAGCTGCTGACATTTCAAGAAGGTAGTGGCCGTGCCTTTTGCAGAGGGCAATCTTTCCCCATTAGTCAATATCACTCTATTTTAGTGTCTCTACTTAATATGAATATTTGAAACACAAAAATCCTGTCTATTTCTCTCAGGAATGACCTTAAGTAAAGCTCTTTTCTTCCATCAACTCCTGTCTCCTAGGTTTTGGGCAGACCAGTGAGCAATATGTAGCATAGATGCTGGAGACAAGGATACTCTCAGATTGGATGGGGATGGTCACCTGGGAATTTGGTTAAAGAAGTAAATGATTGGAAGGTGTTGGGTGGCACCTGAGGATTCAAGTGTCTATGTTCATAGGTGATCATGGACTCCGCTGAGCAGTGGGCCATACTCAAGTCATGAGGCTCAAAGTCTTCCTAGTGTACAGCCTCATGGCTTTCTGAATGTTTATTTGGTTTTTAGTCTTTTCTTTGATCCACTCTGTATTAAGCTGCTGATGGGATTTGTCAAAGTTGATTTGACTGGTCACAACATTTGGAGGTGGTGTCTTTTTGCTTGCTCAGCAGACTCAATGTATGATGTCATCATCACAAGAGCCAGTGTGTGTCTTCACCAAGCTTGGAAGCAAAAGGCTCAAATCAGTGAATGTTCTATTGGTACCCCCCTCTCTCTCTTTTTTTTTTTAATCAGGAGAACTGATGGTTTCCCTGATGTGGGATTTCAACAAGAATAAAAGTCTAGGGGCTGGAGAGATGGCTTCTCTTGCTATGGACCCAGGTTCACTTCCCAGTAGTCACATGGCAGCTCAAAGCCACCTGCAACTCCATTTCCAGGAATCCAATACTCTGGCCTCCCCAGGTACTGCTTGCATATGATGCACAGATACATCAACAAGCAAGACACTCAGACACACAAAATACAAATAAAGAAACTGTTGGATAAAAAAGGATAAAAGGCTGGTGGTGTTTAATGCAGAAGCATGAGAGTCTCAGTGAATGGCTACATTGGAGGTTGTCCCTTAGGGAATCCAGAGAACCACAATAGAGGCTATAAACAGCACTGTGCGCCATTTCCAGCCTAGCTCCTGGTGACCTGATTAGACACATGGCCTTTACATTTCCTATCAATGGAAACATCTGTACAACTGGAAGATGGTTATCAAGCCAATCAGTTATTGTCACAGTTAGTGGTCCCTGGTGGCCTATCCTAAGCCCTTCCCTAGGGCTTCACTTTCCCAGAACACTTTGGGGACATCTGGCCAACCCAAGCCAACTTCTTAGTAGAATTCACAGGCACACCTCACAGGAGTCCTTTCTAGAGAAAGGAGGCTGGTCTTTTGGTTAGTCCCTGGGCACCACCTTTCTCTTCGCGGCTCCTCTAATTCTTTTTCAACCTGCTTTATCTCAAGTGAAAGCAACTCATCTCAACCACAAAATGGGATGCAGACCCAGCATGGAAACAAGGGAAGGGCAGAGATGTAAGGATTGCCGAGGCAAAGGTGACTGTGGGATTCAAGTGAGTGATTGCCCTAGTTTGCTTTCCCGTTGCTGGGCTCAAACCCTGCCGGAAGTAACTTGGGAAGGAATGGATTTATTTGGCTTCCATGTCCTGACCACAGACCACTGCTGAGGAAAGTCAGGGCAGAAAGGAAAACAGGAGCAGGGGCAGGGACACTGCTCACTGCCTTGCTCTCATGGCCTGCTCATCCTGCTTTCTTAGGAAGCCACCAGCCCAGCGGTGACACCACCCATAGTGAACTGAGGCCTCCCACATCAATCATTAATCAAGAAAATGCTCCCCACATGGCCTCAGGATGGAGGCAATTCCTCAGCTGAGATCCCCTCCTCCCAGATATGTCTAGATAGTTGACAAGTTGGCAAGACTTAACTCACACAGTCCTCCACCACTCTTCTCCTGTCAGGTGTCAGGGCCTTTGAGAGCAGACTTCCATCATCACAGCCTCTGTCCACGTCACATTCTGTCCCACTCCATGTGGGCCCAGAGGCCTCTACATGCCATCCTCTGATTCTGCCACTATCCTGATGGCATTGCTCATGGTCTCCTGAGAGCTTCGAGTTCTTTCCTTCCTGGGACATTAGTTCCCTTTTTGCTCTGGCCTCTCTCATCATTGCATCCGTGATCCAATCCTAGCTAACAAACCAAATGACTGCTATCCCTGGAGCATGGTCTTTAGAAGTATCCATGTGCTCACACCATTTCCTTTATATGGTCTGCCCCTCATCTCCCCATCTACCTACAGACAAAATTTCTGACCAGGTATAGCGGTACACCCTGTAATCTCAACACTCAGGAGGATTGTGAGTTTGAGGCCAAATAGGGCTACATAGCAAGTCCCACCTTCCTTACTTTTGCAAGTCTATGTATGTGTGCACGTATGCAATATGTGTATGTATGAGTGCACGTGTGTCTATATATACATGCATGTATAAACCTGAAGTTGATGTCAATTGTCTTCCTCAATTGCTCTCCACTTTATTTACTGGAGCAGGGTCTCTCACTGAACCCAGAGCTTGCAGATCCAGGAAGTCTAACTAGCCACCTTGCCCTAGGGACCCTTGCCTCTGCCTCATGTATCTTATGTTGTTTAGGCTGGTCTTGAACTCATTCTGTTGCTCAGGCTGGTCTTGAACATAAATTCTCCTGCTTCAGCCTCTGCAATACTAGGATTATAAACCTCAGATACTAGGCCCAGCTTCCCTCATTGGTGGATGTTGCCTAGTTCTGGGTAAAATAAGTAGACTTAAAACATTTTGTAGGGTTTTGGGTTGTTGAAACTACAAATACAAAACATTAGCTACCACACCTGTGATCCGTGTGGGACATCAGTTGATGATGACCAACAGACTTGCTTACCTTCTGCAGACATTAGAATATCTGTAATGCCATCTTTATCATACATCCCCATCATCTTTAATGCCATATTTTATTAGATTTTCCCATGAAAGTACTTAATGCTATTTTTCACTATCTATCTTCATAAACAGGCTTCAGTGGATCTAATTCTGTGAGCTGAATGGTCAGTCATGTTAATTGTAGCTCAATGCAGCTCTTGTATCTTTTGAAACAAAGTCTCACTATGTTTCTGAGGTTGGCCCTTAGCTCACTGCATGACCCAGGCTAGCCTTTGACTCACTGAGTTTTCACATTTCCCAGCTTCCTTCCTTTCCAGCTTTGCCTCTTCCTTGTACCCACTTTTGCATAACTTACTGTGTAAGAACAGTGCTGACTGGAGGCAAGGTCCTAATCTCTAAAGATGTCGTTACAATTCTTAAGGTGTACTATCACAGATATTTACTGTATGTATTTCATTTGGATAGAAAAGCTAGTTAAGCCATTGAATATTTGCCTTTCTGTGAAGACTACAAAGTTTCTGAAGCCAATAATTCTACCTGTGTGTCCCATAAGCTTTATTCTCCAAGGGGCAGAACTAAATATCTTAGATACTCAGTGATCAGTTGGTCAAATAAGGTGCATGAGCCCACAACAGAAAATGAATGTGTAGTCCTCCACTTAGATTCCTGCTCTCCTTATGATCTCTCTCTCTCTCTCTCTCTCTCTCTCTCTCTCTCTCTCTCTCTCTCTCTCTCTCTCTCTGTGTGTGTGTGTATACACATGCTCATGTGTGTGCTGGTGTATATGCATGCCCACATGTGGAAGCCAAAAAATCACCTCAAGTGTCTGTCACTCAGGATGTTTCCATCTTGTTTGTTGTGACAGGGTTTCTCAGTGGCCTGGAACTTGCTGAGTAGGCTAGACTGGCTGGCCAGAGAGCCCCAGAGATTCACCTGTCTATGTCCACAGTGCTAGGATTACAAGGCTCCATCCTGCTTTGCTTTGTTTATGTGGGTTTGCAGGATTAAACTCAAGTCCTCAGGACTGTAATTTGGGCTCTTTGCTTATTGGGATATCTACTCAGCCCCTCTACCCTTGACATTTTTTATGACCCATAGGAAGTCATTAAGATCCAGATTCTTCATGTAATAAATGTGCTTTTTTTTTTTTAAAAAAAAGTACAGAATTGAGACAGTTCATAATACCTACTCTCATATATCACACAGGGTTATGGTTGGTGTAACGATGCAATGAAATAGCCATAAACCCTGAATTACAATTATACAAATATGATGTAGTGTCAAAGAGATGGCTTGGCCATTAAGAGCACTTGCTGCTCTTGTGGAGGATCTGGGTTCAGTTCCAAGC